AAAGAAAGAAAGAAAGAAAGAAAGAAAGAAAGAAAGAAAGAAAGGAAGGAACAAATATGCAAAGTAGTATGGCACTAGCTTGGTACTAGTAAAACTCAATATATGCTAATGCTAACTATCAATACTGTATCTTATTCTGAAAACCCCTGGGCTCTGACTTATGTCTGGGCTACTGTGTCACTGAATATCTGTCTTCAATTCTGTGTAAAGACATCTTTACCCCTCTCTGTCTTCAGGACCCAGTTCCATGTGAGGCCAAAGCTGATTCTCCCTGCAGGTCTATGGAAATGTTTCAGGTGACTGTTGGGAGCCCTTCTCCCTCATGCCTCAGTATCCCCATGTATAATGGGCAGGAATATGGAGATTGCTCCTGGCAGTCGGTACTAGGTCAGACTTTCATCCTACTGTGCTCCATTCCATTCCCAATAGTCCCTGAAGGGCAATTTCCTGCTTCTTCTGTAGCAACAGATGGTATGGCTGAGGAGCTCAGCACTACACTCTATCCATGAGCTGTTTATCTTGGACAATCTACCCCTCTAGAATTACAATGATTTAGACTTATCAGGTTCCTAAAACCAAGCAGCTGACACATTTCAGCAATTTCAGGCTCCTTTGGATATTAATGGATCCTCACATCTGGGGAAAAATGCTACAGTGCCCCCATCACCTAATTTAAAAAGCTCTAAGTTGTTTTTAATTTGCTTTATGTGCTAATTCATCACAACAACTTTTATAAAATGCCATTAAGACTCACACTTTCCACCCAGGGTGCTTTTAACAAGTCCATTAGACAATTAGAATTTGACACAAATAATGCAATCACTTCTTATCCCTTCTGCCCCTCCTGAATTTCAATGTGTGGTGGTTCCTTGACAACTGGGAAAGTCTAGAAAGGAAAGAGTAAATCTGCTGGTTGCTCATCTTCCTGGCTATACATGAATCTGGGTACTTATTAAGCATCCCAATAGGTGCTAAACATTTTATCCTCACTGTCTCAAGTTACTGGACAGGCAGAAGAGTAGATGGGTTGTATGCCTGTTTTCTGAGGCAGAAGGGACTTGAATTTAGGTCCTAATTCCACCCTTTCTAGCTATATGGGATTCCTAGGTGATCTTGGCATGTCACTTAATCTCTTAGAATGATGATAAACCAAAAATGACTATTTCTTCAATGAGGAAATACATAACGGTGGCATTATCTTAATAGTTAGGAGATTAGCACAGCAGGATGATATACAAGAGTATCCAATACCAATACAGGATGTGTAATTTTATTATTTCTCACAGCAATCATGTCATTTAAGAATTTTTTTGTTTTGGTCTCATAAAGGAAATAATACAAATGAACACATCTGATACAAAAGCTCACGCTCCTGAACTGAGAATTCTAGGATTTCTTGGTAAGAAATACTGTATTTAGAGCTTATCTCCAAAGGTTCCATGATTTGATGACAACACTTACACTGACACCATGGATCAGATGCAAGACAATATGGAATAGTTTGTTAGATACACGTACAGTTCTGGCTCAGCTACCCTGCAATGCAGTATTAGCCTTGGATTACTGATGAAGAAATACAGGCTTGTATAATCTAAACAATGTATCTGAGACAGCCTGAGAGGGTGGGTTGGAACCTCCATCGTAGAGGCTCTGATTTCAACAGATTCCCAGAGAGTGATGAGTTCTGGCCTCCCTCAGGCAGAGGGCATGGGAATGCAGGGG